ACAACGACCAGCATAGGCTTAAATTACTGACCCAAAATTGGGAGGATCTTCGTATCAAATAATGTATTAAATGGGTATAATTTATTGTTAGATAGGAGCATTCTGCTGCTTTAATACTTCTGATGGTTTATCACTGGCCTTACTTAATTTTCGCTTTTTTTTCTGCGGTTGAGGTGATAAATATTCTGGAGATATTTCAAGGATTATATTTTGCAGCGTTTCTAGAGCTTTTTCACGCTCTTTTCTCACATGATCGGTTAGACAATTGGAGCGAATTATAAAATCTTCAAGAATATAAAAATCCTGGCATCTTAAGTTTACCAGAATCTCAAAAAACTCTTTAGATATTTTTATTTCATTTTTATTCCGACCATCTCCAGCATCTTGACCTTCCAGATATGTTAGAAATTTACGAGAACTCGAATGATAACTATCTTTAKTTTTTAGCTTTTTTAGATCATCTATAGCCGTTTCCTGTCTTTCATATTTTTTGTCGTTGCTGTCCTTTAGATTTTTTAGAATTTTCAAAGTTTTTTGAAAATTTGGATTCTCTGTAATTTTTTCTATATCTTGAAAGTCTGTTTTAAGCTTGTTTTCAGCGCTTTCACTTCTTTTAGAGCTTTGGGCTATTTCCCCTTCCATCCCCTCTAAAAGAATGAAAGCTTGTTTAATTTTCCAACTCTGGCCTATTTTGACGCGGTTTTCAAACACCTTTAAACCCAAAAATAATATTGCTAATTGTGCATTTAGATATTTTTTCTTTATATCAAACAATTGAATGTGTTCCGATCCTAGCTTTTTTATACTATCTGGAGTTGGCATATAGTATATCGCTAGTTCAAAGTCTTCATTTTCTAAGCAGATTTTAACATTTTCAAATTGTTGAACAATTAGATCTTTCAGGCTTCTAGAATTTAGGTTCTCTAGTTCTTGTATTATATCATCCGTATATAGTCTAAATTGATTAACTGTTTTAAATAATAAAGGATTTTGGAATATTTTCCTTTCTTTTTGAAGTTGTAATGAGGGAAGAACGAGAATGGAAACGAACGTTATCACAAATACAAGTTTTTGTAAGTTCATCGAGGCGAGAAGTTTGGTGAAAAAAACTGCTAGCATTTTATATGCTGTTTTGCACAGGAAATTTTGCATCCAATGGGGGATTAAACGAAATAATTACTGAAATAAACAATTAAAATTAGGGAATTTCAGGCTATCATAGTTCCAAGAAATTTTCCGCGATATGTTGTTAGAAGAGTATGATTATGCTCAAGTCTGATTTCCACTTTGATCAAACAAAGAGACACTCTGCAAATAATGCTTTTGTTAGAGCATCATGCAAAATTTTTTCCATCATTCAAGTTTTATTGAGATCCATAAATTGTCTGGCACTGGCACAAGATATAAAAAACGGGACCAAATAGCATAATGCTCATTAAGGATCGTGTCATTCGCATTTTAAAAACACCCAGAAACTGGCTAGTCTCAAAGATAACGCCCTTTACCTGACTCCAGTAACTTACTTTAAATATTCCAGATATGCACATAGTAGCTACAAGAGCGCTGCATTTAGTACCCTTTTGCCAAGCCGAGAGCTACATGCAGCCTGCATTTTGGCAAAACTGGCGAGGATTATACGATGCCTGATGCATGGGCAGTGGTACCCCACGCCATACCAGCACAGCGTGTCTACAACGACCAGCATAGGCTTAAATTACTGACCCCAAAGTGGGAGGAGGTTCTTATGGGATTACCACTTAGCGGTTTTGAAAGAGTTGAACTTATCCTTCAATAGTATCATGATCTGGCAGAAATACCACTAGATGTTCTAGATGTTGTCGAATCACTTGAGATAATTGAGATAATTGAGATAGTTGAACTTGCTCAATTACTTGAGATAGTCGAGCTAGTTGAGTTTGTGGATGGGTTTCAATAATTAGCTCTTTTAGATGCTCCAGAGCTGGTTGTGAATTTTCAATTAGGTGCATTAAGCTAGCTGGTTGAGATAGTAAAGCTTGTGGATCATTTATATTTTGTATAGCTTGTAGATATGTCATATCTTCCTGAGTTCCTACAATTAGTTTGTTCAATAGGATTTTTAGCTCTTGTATCTTTTGTACCTCTTTTAGAGCTTGTTCAGCTTGTTCAATTAGTTGAGCTGACTGAGCTGTCTGTGCTGACTGAGCTGTCTGTGCTGACTGAGCTGATTGAGCTGACTGAGCTGATTGAGCTGGCTGTGTTGACTGAGCTAGTAGACTTAGTTGAGCTATTAAATCGGTTGACTTTTGCAAGGCTTCTCGAGTTAGTTCAACTACTCTATTTTTTATATTTTCTAGGGTTCGTAGAGATTCTAAAGCTTGTGGAAGTATTTGAGCTAATAAGTCTTTTAGATCACCTAAAAGTACATTTGCTAGTAGCTTTTGTAAAGATTTTAGAGATTTTAGATATTTTGGATCTAGTCGAGGTAATAGATCATTTAGTTCCAATAGATATTGTAGATCTTTTAGATATTCTATATCTTGTTGACCTAGTTGAAATTCTAGAGCTTTTTGATAATTGTCTATTTACTCTCTTTCTTCAAGTTGTAGTGAAGGGAGAACGAGAATGGCGATGAAAGGTATAAAAAATAGAAGCTTCCGAATGTTCATCGGTGTTTACAGCTTTTCGAAAAAGCAGCTAGCATTTTATAGACTCTTACATCGAATAGGTGCATTAAATGAGATAATTACTGAAACGGCCAATGAAAATCGAGAAATTTAATTATCATGTCGTCTTATTTGTCATTAAGTTGATTATCCGCCAGAATGGAAGCGATTTAGTGTAAAATTCAAAAGTTTAGTAAAAATGGAGATTCCTAAAATGGGTTAAGGTTAGGCTTTGCTATGCTTTATGTTGTAATAACCGGGATTACGGGGACGGACACTTGATTTCAGACAATCGGGTCAGTTAGGCATAAAGGCGTTCAAATTTCGGGAAAACTGCATATGCAATAAATGGACTATAAATCATCTATAAGATGTGCAATGGGAGGGCGATTCGGGTTAGGGATTGAGAAAGACATGCAAATGATTTTTCGAGAAACATATATTGAAGCGTATTAACTAGATCATACAGAAGGATATGATGACCACCTCTACTGCAGCTGGTGGTTCTGGAGATTCGTAGGTATTCTCTCGAAAAGGGGTAGGGTTAGGGTTAAGAGCATCCCATGACATATTTGAACCCTTAAAATCAATGGGAAATTAAAGTTTATTTGTACTGATCTTTAGTTTCTTTGGCCCTGCATGCGTCCATTTCAAACGTTAAGTGATGCTTTTGCATGGTTCAAGTACCCACCGGCACTTGCACGCTCCCTTTTGATTCCCTTTCTGGGCTTTCCTATATTGATGAAGCTAAATTTTGTTCGTCTATACTCTGTTCTGTTTTCTTGGAAACTAATATTCAAAAAAGGCCAAATTTGGCGATTGGGATCTTCTTTCTTTATTGCGCCTCTAAATATAAACCTGTTTTTTGATTCATTCCTTAGATACCAGGCACTTTCTCAGCTAGAATTTATGACGTTTGGAAAGCACGATGGTATCGCTTTTTTGGTGTTTGGGTTTATCTTCAGTATTTTTTTTGCGCTATTAGATGGAAGTGTTATTATCCTTACACCGGTTTTCACAATGTACATCGTTTATGTTTGGTCGATGCTAAATCCGGATATTATCATCCAATTCTACTTTGTCCCTCTTAAATCAAAATATTTCCCTTGGGCTCTCTTGGCGGTGAATTCATTTATATTTGACAAGTACTTCCCTTCAGAAATGGCTGGAATTTTGATAGGGAATCTCTATGTGGCACTATTCAAGTGGTCAGTTACCTCAAAGATGCTTATCACCGGAACCTATTAGTAATGTTGCCATATTTATTTTTATAGTGAATCCAAGTTAAAATCCCTCCATCAAACGATAACCAGATTATCTTCACGGCCAGGAAAGGCACTGGGTAAGCCTGAGCCCAATCAAGTGGCCAAAAGCCGCCTCAAGTACTTTGAAAAGACCAGCTTAAATACTGAAGCCAAATTTACAGCATCGGATTCGAAAGCCGATTTGCTATCAAAAATCGATGATGCAGCCACTAGGCCTTCTTCCAACTGCGGATATATGGCATCTATCACTAGCTGTAAACAGGACTAGTTTGTGCTAAATATAAAATTTAAAAGATTTCTTGTAGCTCCCCTATCAAAGGGGTTGAAGAACTCTTTAACGGACGTGGACCCATCACGAGAAATAAAAAAGTGGTGATATTTGTGAATATTTCGGGCCTCATTGGTAGTCAGTGCTTGGGAAATTTGAAATAGTTGGGAGACCCATAAAAAGAATGTTATCCAAAAAGCCCATGATGTGCACCCAAAGAAGATCAGAAAGGTAACCCTTTGGTCTTCGTATAAAACTCGTACAAGCGAAAGGAGCGATGAATAAGATTCGTAAGCTATTAGCGAAAATACCTTTAAAAGATACACCACATTGAAGCTTGCAGTGTACAACACCAGGAGAAAGAGATAAAAGACGAATGTGCGGCAGTTCCACAAACCAATACAATTTCCGGTCCATGGACAATGATGATCAAACACCATGACGCATTTATTGCAAGTAGAACAATGTTTGGACCTCAAGGGACGGAAATTAAGGCATGTAGAGCAAAAGTTTCTTCTGGAATGATTAGAGTCAACCAAAAGCCTCATATTCGATTTTATTGTCTGTGAGAATGCAGAGTATGAGTTGTTTTTGACAATAAAGCCTGGGTCCAAGAAATAACAGCGTAGCAGAGACAATACCAAAAGGATAGAAATACAACCAAAATACAAATATCCAATGATTGTAAAAGGAAAGCAGATCAGCGTCGAAACTACTACACTCATTGTGATCGATATATTGGACCAAAATAAAACAGAMGACTGAGCTATAGAGCTACCTGGAAGGAACTTTGACAGGACACAAATTGCCAGCGAAGAAATTCCCAAAATAATTGCTAACGCAATATGCAGTTCATGAAAAGAAGAAACGTACAAAAGTATGGGAATGCTCATCATCAGGGCAAAACAAAAACTTTTGGAGCTGATAACCGATAGAGCTTTTGATTTCGCATCTGCCTTTTTAAAATACGAAATCAAGTTTTTATCGTCGCGTTCCTGAGCATATTTTTTAAACCACATGCTCAATTCAGGTCTTGACAGCAAAAATTCAAGAGAATCACTAGCTTTTGCCTCCATCAACCGATGAATAAAGTTCTTTTCCCCAAGAAATGGGTCGATTGGGCCAGAGGTCACGATCAATGAATATGTTACCTTTAGAAGTTGAGACGAAGCCCTTCTGATCCCAATCCAATCAAGAAGAGCTCTCCCACCGGAATCAGATGCGTAAAGAAGAGACTGATCCAAAGAAGCCAAATAAACCAGAATATCCAATCTGTCATATTGCACAGCAACGTGGGAGCAGAAATATCCATGATCGTCAGTCACCAAAATGTTACACCCAGATTCGACGAGAAAAACAACCATTTCTATGTGTCCGCCACTATTGGAAATTTAAATCACACTGCATACATAATTGCCCAGTTTAGAGGAGGGTCCATGGACTTTCCACCTCTAACATTGACATCAACGCCGTCAAAAGAGACGAGACATTTGGCCATTTCAATTCTATTAAGCAGAGCAATCCAATGCAATGGCCTATATATGAGAAAAGCACTAAATATTACGTGGACTTGTCGCTAGGATCCTGCAGGCTGGCCATAACGGAGCCAGAATGCAAAGTAAGATACTCCAAAAAGGATTC